GATTCTGGGAGTTGAAGTCCACTCATCTTAAAGTGGCCAAGTTTGGGCAACACTGAATTAAGTGAAGAGATACCCTTGTTCAAACTGAGCTTTATTCTCCATGCCCATGTATTTTACCTGGCAACAATATGGGACTGGTTGGCAACAGAGTTCCTCCAGGATTTTCTAAAATTCCCATTCTAGCCTACAGCCCTGGCATTTCCTGCGGGACTCCCATGTCCAACCTTGCTCATCTGTGAGCCCAGACAAGGCTTCACAGGGGTTACTACCCGCTGAGCCATGTCCTGCAAGATCCTTCATCTGTCTATTGAGAAATAAGTGCCTTCACGTCCTATGAAATTGATTCCAGAGTGCAGCCTTTATGAGATCATAAAAGCCTCTTTAAGAGTGAGATTAAGAATTCCAAACCTCAAAGACTACTCAAAAGGCATACTTTAGTGTTTTGTTGGATTGTACCCAGGTTGGTAAGGGCAGAAGTTTAGCTTGGATCTCCTGCTTAGGCAGTTCACACTCCAGAGGCAAGATTGCAAATGGCACACATCTGGGGATCATGAGTCGTATTCTCCAACAAGTAGCTTGCGGTGCTTCTAGTAAAGCTTAATGGAGCTCTTGGCTGCAAATAAATTGATGGCAGTGGAACAAATGATCTTCCTGTTGAGCGGAAGGACCCCAGGACAAGTGAAACATTTCTCTGTGCTGAAGGCCCCGAGTATTCAATTGAAACTATCCTCTTACGCAAGGCATGAAAAGCCACATCTGTGTATTTAAAACACTGCATCTATTCAGTGATGTTGCCAGTTTCTTGACTGAGATCTCTTGGCAAATACCATAATCTTGCTCTCTGGAGGGGATTCTCAGAGCAGAACTGGGCTTTATCACTAAGTCCTAAGATTTAGCAGAATCACTGTGATGCTAAAAAGGAAGCTCTCCTTAGAGTAAGTTGATCCTGGGGTTTTATGGATACGTCCATTCAGTTTTCTCGCACTAGCACAGAGGTGATCTATCACAACCTTCTTGTGAAATGTTTGACTTCCCAGACCAGCCTACAGGTCTGAAATTGTGTTGGTATGTGGGAATGACCTTGGGAGACAAGTGGGGGGTGGGGGAGAGATGCTGCCTGGGGAATGATCAGATAATGATCAGGGGGCATAGCCTGCAGCTGCATAACGGGCAGAGAAAAACTCAGAAAGGATCCTCCCTAACTTATCAGGCAGTAAATGGGAGGGCAGGAGAGTTGCACTTTCAGACTTGGAAGATTCTGTTAATCTAGCCTTACAATAAAATCAAATTGTCTCATCTGGTCGTGTTTCCTGTCTGGTCTACCTGGGAAGGCTGACAGAAATTACTGGGAGATCTCCCATCCAACATCTAAGAAGGATTGACTTTTGTTACCTTCCATGCTGAGACATCTGCCATGCTGATGTTAATCACTTTTGTGTACAAAACTCGGAATTGTAGCATTAAATATGTTCATGTAAGCGAGGAGCAGAGGTAAACTGTCGGCTTAAGCTGATGACTTCAATATGATTCTGTTTTAGATTGCCTGCTCTAGTTTCTGGAAAGGCCTTTGGTTTATTTTAATTTATTTTATTTAGTATTAGATTTATATTCAGCTTTTTGTTCAGGAGCTCAAAGTGGCTGACAGGGTGCCCCTTCCTCCTATTTTCCCCCACAACAACATCTGTGAGGTACCTAATGGTTCTTTACAGGTGAATTTGGGCTTGGAGATAAGGAATGGATTTTACACTGTCTGAAAGCTGCCCCCAGTTTCAACTGCATGCGTATTGCGTGTGCAAAGAAAAAATGACAATCCAAGGAGTTCTACAAGAAAACATGTTTACTTGGAAGAAGTCCCATGGAGTTCTGCAGGGCTCACTTCCTGGAAATACGTCTCACTGGGTAACCTTAATTAGCTGACGGCAGAGTAAACAAGGGATAAATGTAGGTCAATAGCACCTTGTTTACCGGGCAAGAAAGTGACAGCATCATCACTTTGAGCAAGGAGCCTCCTTTGGCAAACAATGGCCTCCATTCAGGATTTAGCCGCACACCCTTGCTGAAAATCTTGCATCATCCTGGGGCTTCCATACCTTTTGAAGCAGAGGAGCTGATAGTGAAAGTGAATATGCGTTTGCTTTTGGAGCTTCTGACTTAAGGGCACAGCGCCCTTAAGCCTGGAATGAACAGGTTGAAATTTTTATGAATGGGTGGCAGGGTTTGCTTTTAAGATTTGTGAATGGTCACAGAGCTTTAAGTAATTTAGCAAGGGGCCTGTCGGCACTTCAGTAGTTAGCAGATGTGGCTGAGATCAGAATTCTTACTTGAAGCTGACTAATCCTGGCTTTGCAGAAAATGCTAGTTTGATCCTTCTCGTTGCCCTCCCCAAAATGCAGGAAACCCCTAGACCTTGCACGGTGCTTAGAAAAATCAGTGAAGCCCCTTTTTCAAGGAAAAAGAGGGAAACATCTCAGGAACCGGGTGAAGAAGGAATCACTTAAAAGGGAGAGGTGTAACTTCCTTCCTGGTTTATGCACCTGCCAGAAATAGAGAGATCTTCAGGTTTTAGCCATCATAGATAGTAGATAATACATTAAAGGTTGTTTACATATGAGGACTGTAAGCGTGTAGGTTTTTAACTGAGCACGTTGGCCTAATTTAAAAGAGGAGCTGAGAAATATGAAACTCACTGGGGAGGCCCAAAACACCACTTTGATGATAATAATGCGAAGGCCTCACATTTCCACCAGATATAAATAAATGAACTGAGTCCCTAATGACAGGCTCCGTTTTAGCGATTCAGAATATGCATCAATCATATGAAAAGAGAAAGTAACATTAATCCTGGAAAGAGCAAGTCAATTGCTTTGGCCCTCCTCGCCGGCGGACGGGTCGAACTGAAGTTCTGACAACTTGGTTGGTCAAATTTCCTCTTTTAAAAAATCGAGGAGAACTTTTTCTGCCTCTGCAATGCCTGGGTTCTCATTTTCCTCTACCTGAAACCCATGTCACGATTTGGTGATACTTTGCGCATCTCAAGGCCTGCTTTTAGAATTTGGAAATCCAGATATTTTTACTAGTACGTTTTCCAGGGTACAGTGAGGCCTTGCCACTTCTACTGTCGTGGAATTATTTTCACACGAGGATATAATGCAAAGAAAAATTTGCAAATTTATAGCACTCTATCATGAAGTCTGCAGTTTCTCTAAGAACGTATTTCAGACAGTTTCTGAAAGACAGAATAATAGACATAAATCAATTCAGGAAGCTGAGTGCTAAGAATTTCTATTGATCCCTGAGAAATGTAATTGTTTCCAGGATTTGAGGATCTGTAGCTTTTCCAAAGTGTCTTTTGCGTTGAGTGTACCCATGTAAATGGTATGCAAGGGTGCATGTGGGCATAATATATAACATTTTAGCTCGTTTAGCTAGTTCTTTAGGTTTAAAGAAAATATTATAGCACAAACTAGTGAACAATGGAATTTATTTTGCATAGAAAGATGGGAGCAACATAATATAAGAGATGGCAGAGAATTGAAAGAAAGGGGAGGCATTTTATAATTTCTGGAGAAAGTGACTGAACAGAATTGTGATTAAGAACGAAAAAGGAAAAAGAACTTTAAAAGAATTTTAACAGCCGCATAAAATATAAAAAGGCACAGCAGTATGGAGACAGAATTGTATCTTAAGTTCTGTAGTTAACATATTCTTGTATGGAAATTTAAGTACTGTAGAGGAATAATATTATAAAAACAAAGGCATATGTAAGATTTGGACCTGTTTTAATTAAGTGTCTTAAAGAGCAATTTGATGCAACATAGGACAAAATAGTTGATTTTTTCAGATTTGTAGTGTAAGAGGAAAAAACCCCAGTGAACGCAAAAGATTAAGGCTAGCCAGGAATACTCCTGAATTGTTCTCCTGCCTTGGGTCCTGTCCCTTGCAAGGAACTTTTGGGAATTCTCCATTTTGGAGCCAGTGAACTGGGACGTGGATGGACGATCCATTGCTAAATTGCAGCCCTCTGAACTCAGAACCACATCGCCATCCTGACAGAAGGAACTCCACAAGACCCAGCAGATCTTTAAATGTTCTCTTAGGGGCGATGGGATTACACTCGGTGCATGTTTTTCACGGAAACGTGGTTGAACAGAATGGGAAAAAAACACCAGTGTGAACAGTATAAGAAAAGCACACTTCTTGTATTTCTCAAAGTTGTAGTCTATACAATAAAACTTGGGACATATAATTAAACAGTGAAGAAATTAAAGCTTACAACTTTTTTTTTTTTAAATAATGTGCTATTTCTAAGAAATAGGGGAAAAAACATTTGCCTGTAGATAACACTTTAAAATTCTTAAATAAATTAATTAATGACTTGGACTCCAAGAAAGACCTGCCTGGTTGCTAGTTGTTAATTAGGCATAACTGAATTTACTAATATTAACTTTGAAAGCTGTAAAGGCTCAGAGCCTCAGATTCTTCGTGATGAATCTGGTTCTTACAGTGAAGAAGGCTGTTTTCTGCACTGAACACGTTCCCTTGGGAATTGCTCCTAACCCCATCGTTCTCTCTGTAAGTGTCCAGAAAATCTGTCAGATTTTCTGCGTCTCTTTTGCTGGGCTTTTCATTATTCATTGATTTTAGCCTTAGTTTTAGTTGACTCATGCAAGGATTCCAGGAGTGCAACCTCGTTGTCCCAGGGTGTGGTAACACAATCTTGAAAGCCTGCCAACATTTCTCTCTGCCCTCTCTTATTCCAAACAAAATCAAGGCAGGGTTATTTTGAGTTTCTGCCTCACATTTTCCACTTTCTCAGGACTGAGTTGTCTTTTATTTTCCTTAACTAATCCTGCGTACCTTTGTCAAGAGTATTTCTGCATTCCTCTACACCTACCATTTAACTTTATTCTGATTTTTTTTTCTTTTCTTTTTGCTATTAGCTACTGTACCTCGAGTACTTGCTCATGTTGAAAGGTAAGGTATAAACCAACGAAATAAAGAAGATTTACATCTACTGTCTACCTTCTACCTTAGCTGTTCCCAAGCAACGATCTTAAAATAAGTGAATTTAAAGAAATTCATAGAGGGATTTGTCCCCCGCTCTACAAATTTTTCAAGAATGCAACTAGTGGAGGGAATTTAATTTTGTGGCTTTGAGTCAGTGTTGGCTCCTGGTGACTGCCTGGACAAGTCCCTGCAGTTTTCTTGGCAAGATTTTCAGAAGTGGTTTGCCCTTGCCTCCTCCTTCCTGGGGCTGAGAGAGACCGGCCCAAAGTCGCCCACGGGCTTAGAGCCAAGCTAATATTTAACATTTAAAAAAGCAGTTGCATCACTGTGATTGTATGTCCTTCAAGGTCATTTCCTCTGCACTCTATGTAAGCAGATTCAAAATGGGATTACTCTGACTTTACTTCTCATGCATTCTGCTTTTGCAGCAACGAGTTGTCTCATTTTGCCTTAACTGTTCCTACATACCAGTGTTTCTCAACCTTGGCAACTTTGATATCTGCATATATCTGCATATATAGCCTCCCAAGAGTTAAAGTGGTGCTTCTCAACCTTGGCAACTTTTAGATGTCTGAACTTCAACTCCCAGAATTCCCCAGCCAGCCATGTTGGTTGGGGAATTCTGGGAGTTGAAGTCCAGACAACTTAAAGTTGCCAAGGTTGAGAAGCACCACTTTAACTCTTGGGAGGCTATATATGCAGATATATGCAGATATCAAAGTTGCCAAGGTTGAGAAACACTGGTATGTAGGAACAGTTAAGGCAAAATGAGACAACTCGTTGCTGCAAAAGCAGAATGCATGAGAAGTAAAGTCAGAGTAATCCCATTTTGAAT